GGCACTGCAGTTTCCTCCTGATAAATAGGGTTAACATTTGTAGGGTCCGTATTGCCTATTATTACTATTACTACTATCAGGGTTTTTGATTGTTCTCTATTTCCTAGATCCTAACAAACCGCTCACTTAGAAAGATGGCAGCAGTGGGGATACAGACATAAATGCTCATTTGGCAAGTCTGACATTTATTAAACACAAAAATGACTGGGACTTTGTGGGTGCACGAAGATGAGACCTTACCGTTACCCTCCATTTTTCTGCCTTTTTCCTGGTTTTGTTGATTTGGCTGTGTGCTTTTGGCAGAGGTGAGAAAGGTAAGAGCTAAAGGGAGTATAGTTGTAATCATTCTGCCAGGTGCATTTGGCTGAGTCTTCAAGCAGGATTTTAACCCCTGGAGATCAACAGAATAGCTGACCTTGGCTACAGAGCAAATTGACAGCATCCACAGTAGAGGTCTGAGGGGAACTTTGCCGTGACCAGGCCTTGGCAAAGAAGGTGAGGGGGTTGCAGGTTGTGTAATGACAGCCAACCTTCATTCCCTCAGTAAAGGCAGGAAGAGGTTTGGCCAGAGAAAGGAAAACACCCTGGCAGACACTTGGAGAAGAACCAGTGTCAAAAATGTAAACTTCTGTTTTACATACATTCATCCCAGCAGTCCATCTTAACATTTTGTTTTTTAAACAAAACAAAAAAGCCATCCAGTTACGTGAAAATTATTTACCAAAGGATTAAAATTTCTGCAATTGATATTTTACACAATTTCAATTTGTTTCCTCTTAGCTACAATTTTTTTTGGCTGATGGAGGTAGGAACCAAATCTTGGCAATTTAGAAAATTTGAGGAACAATTCATACTAATCCAGATTTAGCCTCCTACCATCCAATGAATATTTGTATTCTTACACATTATTAACTTTAACTATTACCAAACATATTAATGAAGAACTGGGCAAGGATATGACAATAAAAAGAATGTTATTTTATGTTAAATGTATTGGAATTTCAAATATTAATATAAAATTTCCTCTGGCAGTAAATGAAAAGTTAAATGGAATCAGAGCATTTATGATATAATGAAGAAAGCAACAACTGGAGATTGATTATTAAAGTGATTGAATTTAGGCTCTCTGACTATAATTTGGGAACCCTGGTGGCATGGTGGTTAAGAGCTCGGCGGCTAACCAAAAGGTCAGCAGTTCGAATCCACCAGCCCTTCCTTGGAAACTCGATGTGGCAGTTCTACTCTGTCCTATAGGGTCACTGTGAGTCGGAATAGACTCGATGGCAATGGGTTTGGTTTTGGTTTTGGACTATAATTTGGACTGGATCACATGCAACAAGTACTATTTAACTGTTGCTATATTTAATGAAAATAGGAAGAAAAGTCACTACCTTCTGATTTTATCAAGGAGTGGGCATTCGTATAAGGCAAAGACCCATGAAATCCAGATGACAGATCAAGACCTCTGAGAAACTGACCACATGGGACCAGTGGCAGAACCTCAGAATGGACACTTTAGATCAAGAGACTCCTGCAGTAATAATGCAGTATGACACATCAAATAGGAAGTTACTGAAAATAAACTCAACATGTTTCATAGCACCATTAGCCTTATCTGGAAAAATAAAAGTCAGAGGGTAGCATTCTACAACTGATCCTAGATACTCATCTAGGACACCAACACCCATCAATAAATGTCATGACGAAGGGTATAAAGAAAGCCCAGGGAAAAATGGAAAACTACTCACATGAAAGCACCTGTGTTCCTGAAAAGTGACTTAGCAGAATCACCTTTGCAATATAGGAAAACAAATCACCTATTGAATGTCTGACCTTCATGAAGTTGCCTAATGAAAGGGCAGAAATTATTAATGGTGACTGGCTTCCTTCCTCCCTCCCTCCCCTCTTTCCTTTCTTCAGAGACTCAGTTCTTTAAGGATCAGAGCTCACCAGGAGTAAATTAGGATTAAAAAAAAAAGTCTGCTGAAAGCTTCCTTGAAAAATCTTAATTTCTCTCCCATCCCAGCCTAACACAACTGCAATGAAAGACACTATTACCAAAGAATTCATCATGACCTACGTCAGATCTGATCTTAGCAAAATCAATGTTCTGTCCAGTTGATTGACATAATACCCCTAAGCACATTAGAACAATTTAAACAAAATACACCTGTAAAAAGAGAGGAACAGAGAGAAAGAGGCAGTTTTCTTTAATAAGACGAAGTCTGGGATTAAGAATTGTAAATCCAAAGATATTAAAAGTCATTGATATGATAATATAAGAAGTGTCTGGCTCACTCTTTTTGAATAGCTTTACTTGGTTAAAAAAAATCAACTCCCATAAAGCTATGATAACCTTACTTCTAATATTTTATTACAATTAATATGTATATTCTATACAGTGAATACTGGCTGGAATTATTTTGGAGTACAACCTTATAAAAGCACTAGAACTGTTTTCCAAAGACACAGGTAAAAATTAGCAGCAGCAGATCATTCTCACCTGATTTCTATAACAAATGACAAGATGTCTCAATTTGCCTCAATTTTAAGTGATACACTGTAGTCCCCCAAACACAGAACTCCATCAGGGGCTCCTGAATGTCACTGGATTTGTAATCTGTCCATCGAGGGCAAGCCCTATGCACTCTGTAGTTGCATTCAAGGGAGCAATATTCACAGCATAACTGATAAATAGGAATTATTTTCACATACGTCCACGTGTAAAGTTACAGACAGAGCGAGAGGCGCAGAAAGAATATCAAGACACTGAAGCATGCTTGCAGAAAAATATAAGTCCCATTCACCTATATGGAAAATGTCATCACACCATGAGTACTGAAAATACCAGGTGGACCTGTTCTTTGTAACTTCAAGGACCGATACGAAAGAAGTTGGTGTTGCTCTAACAGTTTCAAGCAGTAATGAAGTGGAATATTTTACCTACTACAGAGAACAGAAAAACTTTTGCCCAGCCTGCTCTGAACTGGCCCATTGTGCATCGACTATAGAGGATGAAGAAAAGGAAGAGCAGCTCTGTTGCCCTGGGACAACTTAATATCACCAAAGGGCCTAATAAGGTCACCACAATGCAAGTCTGGTTTACAGCGAATCCTAGCAAGGTATATTCATTTCTGAGAACACTACAGACGACGCACCATTCAGAAATACTAACTATATTGTTACTATTAGTGATTCAGTTTTGAAAAATCAAGTTTGCTGTTGAATATTTTTCTGAGCCTCTGTTGAGAAAATTCAATGCTGAAATTTTAGTAATGATCACCTTTACCCGTGTTTTCTCATACAAAATGTTTACTTAACAAATAAAACATAGAAATGGAGCCAATTCCTTACAATCAGGAAATGAAAAGAGAGTTCAAAACCTGTGCAAAATACACAGTAACTGCAACGTGAAATGTGGCTACATTATTGGAAAGGGTTCTCTAGAAATAAAGGAGTCCATGTCATTGGCCCTTAATGACAATCTTGTCCCTTTAAAAGTAAAGGTATATTTCAAATACTTTTAAGTGACTTTATTTTCTTTTAAGAAACTTCATTTATGATACCTAAAGATAAGCCATATTGTGACAACACCTTAATTAGAATCACTCTGATAACGAAAACTTGAGGTATATCTTTCAGAATAAATCTCGTAGGTAAAACACTAACGCAGAAAAGCTCTTTGTTAAGTCAGGGTTTTCCACGATATTACTACAAAAATAACATACTAGTCAAGAAAGCCCATGCTTTCTCTAAAAATAGACAAAGTTATAAATGTTTAAGAGGGAAGAAAAAAGCTTCTTCTTAAAAAATGTGTTCCATATAATACCAAAGTTCCCACAGAAAATTGCACAAATAACAAAATAAAGTGAGAACCACTTCACTTACCATCAAATTTCTTGTGCCTGGACACAAACGTGGTACGCACAAAATGACTTGTCTCCTCCACAAGGTTTTCGAACTCGAGTTTGCTTTGTTGGCTTAACTTGTCTTCCATTTCTGTGGTGCAGCATGTATATTCCTGAGGACAGATTCTTAAGTGTTCCCCTGCAATAAGAAATTCAAGGTCAGTATGGAATGCTATGGAATGGACTCAAACATCAACAATCAGGAAGATGGCCCAGGACAGGGCAACGTTCCGTTCTATTGTACATGGGGTCGCCATGAGTCGGTGCTGATAGGATGGCAGCTAACAATAACAATATGGAATGATAAGGACTTTGGGTAAACGTTGAGGTATCACTTCTCTAACACTTCTATAAGATCCTGGAGTACTATTCCATCTACCTCCTCCAGCCATCCCCATGATATTGCACTCAGGGTGTCAGCCTGCTCAACATTCCAAACAACTGGCTGATTTAAATCTAACCTGATATTCAGTCTCTGTTCCCTGTCATGTAAGCGAAGGTATATTAAAGACTTCAGAAGACCATAACCTTTCTCCTGCTTTTATTTGAATTGTACCAGGTAACACCAAGTGACAAGGGATGTAAAACAGTTTAAAGTCTGCTTGTCTTTGAAAACCTCAAGTAAGGCAAAAGACATTTAGTGCCCTCACGGTAGTCTGTTAGACAGCCAGGGCAAGGAAGGATGGTGAGAGTCCCCCATGTTCTCTCTCTGCCTGTCTGTGTGCTGAAATGCATCAGCCTTTCTCTTGGTTAAAGTGAGTGTATTTTTAATGGCAGGTCTCGGGTGCCACAAATTCTCTCAGTTGACATTTCTTGTCAGAAAGAAAATGTTCTCCTGAAGGAAAGAAGGCACTATGGGTTTAATTAATGCTTCTGTTATATGGAAATGTAAAGTAAAAGGTAATAAAGTCCTGTATTTATTCAACAGATTTATCTCTTGATACACTGAGCCACTTCTTCTGACAGTATTGCTTTCTTTGGTGCTATCTGCAAGTAGAAGCCAATCCTTTACTCCATGAAATTAAAATGTTCTGTTAATGCATAGAATGTGAATTTACAATTGATGCAGCTTGGTTACTGTCAAAAATGTTTAGCAGAGCTTGTGGAAGGAAGAAGGAAATTCAACCAATGTCTTGCTAAATAAAACCAACAAATTGCCCCTGCAATTAAAATCACCATCGGGCATTGAAAACCAAATGAACAAGTGCTTGATGCTGTGGTTGAAATTCATTTATAACGTCTAACGGCACCTCTATAAGTCTGTGCTATGACTGTCAAAGATGCATGAGGCGTCTCCTGATTCCCCACATACTGCGATGCCTTAGCTCCAGCTTAAAACACCTCCAGAACTTAAAAAAAAAAAAACACAAATGTATATTTAAGCTGCTGCTGTTGTTATTTGTCATTGAGTCGATACCTTGTTTAATTCCTAGAAGGAAAGGGAAGCCATAAAAAAAAAAAAAATCATCTTACAAAAAAGAAGAGGAAAATGCACCATAATTGAGAATACTAAACTACAAATTCAGGGTAATAGTTACCTCCTAGGAGGGACAGGGATCCGAGAGAAAAACACAAATACATCTATCTATATAAATATCTATCTACCTATCTATATTTTAAACTGGATGAGGGATACTTGAGTTTATTATTTTATTAACTTCACTTCTTCTCTAGGTTTTAAATATTTTATAATAAAACCTTAGAAGTATATCACTGAACAGCAGCAGGAGACACTGTGGTTGTGCTAGAGAGGAGAGCAGAGCAGGGGTGGGGAGGGAGAGTAGATACTGATAAGGAGAAAAACAAGCAGCCTTGACTTCCAGAAGCTGGCCTGGCACTCCCAGCCAGGTCATGCTATTCTCCTGTTAGACGTAAACAATCTCACACAATTCCAGCCCCAAACAAACTCACACAACACCAACCTCAGTCACCCTGAGACCCTGATAACATGTGACAGCGCAAGGCCACTTCCTTATTTTGTCTAAGCACAGACGAAAACAAGGTCACTATGCAACCCACAGAATACCAAATACCTCCTCCCCTGGCTATTTCTTTACCATTTACTGATTTATCCTCAGATTATGCTCCCTCCCTGTAGATGAGATTTATTGAGATTGCCAATCACAGAATTACCTCTTCTTTCTGACAGCTTCCAGCAATCCAGAGCACTCTGCTGTGACTG